TCCCCCTCCCCTCCCGCACCCCCGCTCTCCAGCCAACGCAGGACAGCAGCGCGGCAGCAGCGCCGCGGTGGCGAAGCGGCGGATTCCTCAACTACCGACCGCTCTCCCTCCTCACATAGCACAACAAAAAATAAATAAAAACTCTGATTGGAACGCAAACACCTCCGTGGATTTGAACGTGTAGCTTAGTAATTCGGATCAGTATGCGTGCACCGTGACGAGTCGAGCACTCGGCCCGGTGAGGTTTGCCATTAGGGCTCAAAACTAGTTTATGCTTTTCGGAAATTACTGAATCAAAACTACAAACAAATAAATGCTGAAAACATTGATATGATTTATATTAGAAACTTTAAAAAGTAATACTAAAAAAATATTCTTTTTAGGGTGCCCTCGAAGTTTTCGGATGATGAAGACTTGAAATTCTCTAAAGTAATGTCGCAATCCAGATTAGATCACGAGATTTTATTAATGAGATTAGAAACGCGCACGTTCTTTACGCGGTCCGCTGATTTCAATTTTCGCGCTGATTTCCCTGCAGGGAAGCGCATTTCCACTACCAACGCCAGGAGAAAAATATTTTGTTTACGGGACCAAACACGACCCGTGCTTGTAGTTAAATCAGGAAATTTTACCTTCGTTACACTGTTTAAATTATGTTACCACTGTAAAACAGACACTTAGCACTCGTTGGAACAGTAAAATCGATTCTACTTTAGATTCCAATGAAGCCTACATATTCTCCCTACCCCCTACCCCTTCTCCTCTCACCACCCCGCCCCGCATCTGCCGGACTTTGTCTGGAGAGATCACGATGGCTGCAACATTGCGATTTTTCGCCGTTTCTAGGCTTGGACAGAGCTTGATTCGACCTTCAAATCGTTTAAGAGCTACTCTTAGTCCAAAGTACCTCTCTCTGTCAAAGAACTCCGGAATCCGTAAGTGTGTCTTTAAATTTTGAATGCCGATAGTCCGTCAATGGGCGACATAACCTATCATTTTAGCAGTCGATCGATCTAGAATGTCACTTTTTCGCATGACAAGGTCTGTATGTGATGTCATTTTGGTAGTCCTGAAAATCAAGTGGCTTTGATTGTCCACAAGAATTCTGTCAGCCGATTTCTTCTTATTGCCGATTATTATCTAACACTATACTACATGCCCATAATTTTTAGAACTTTTATCATGACCATCTTACATAAAAGAACACCTTCAAATTTAAGTGTTGCTTTCTTGCATCACTAGCCACTTTTTCATCCATACTAACAGCTTCTGTCATAACTAATTTCAGAATGGCGTCAGCAATTTCGAACATTAAGTGCTCAAGCAACCGAAGAAAAGTCTTCAAGCACCTCAGGTAAAGATAAAATAAAAACTGGTTCTTTCAAGTTTCTTGATTTCTTTTACAATGCAACATTATACTCCCAGGGACAGCAGAAAAGTTGGAGTTTCAAGCAGAGACCCGAATGCTGTTAGACATTGTGGCAAAATCCCTGTATTCTGAAAAAGAGGTAAACCTTTTGCACTACAAAAATAGAAAAGTAAACTGTAGTATTTGTTTCCTATTATTGTTTTAATCCACTTGTTGTAGGTATTCATCCGTGAGCTAATTTCCAATGCCAGCGATGCCTTGGAGAAGCTTAGACATTCCCTTCTTGCTGACGGGAAAGATCCGGAAACACTTGAAATCCGCATTTCCACTGACAAGCAAAACCGTATCCTCACCATTTCGGTAAGCAACAGTTTGGAACAAAGTCACCATTTGTTCTTTCACAAATGTTGTTAACAATATTGTTACTTCTATTATGAGTGGTGTTGGCATAATAGAGCGGTGTAGTAGCGGGTGTTTTTCTCATCAGTACTTGAGGTGTAAAAGCAGGCGCTATCTCGCTGAGGTGGGGGTGGGTGGGGTAGGCGTGGGGAGGCTGCTGGGACGATCGGGAATCCACCGGCGGGGGAGAAAAGGGAGG